TCTCGTTGGATCGGCCCCTGTAACCTGCCTACATTGTCTTCTGCTTCCTTTGGCACGTGGAAAAGGGACGCCGTCCTTTTTCGTAGTGCAACAGAGGAAGAAGAGGAAACAACAGCAACAACACTGAATTAACTAAAGTAATTACATGGCATTACCCAAAATAAAAATAACAGCTAATGATAAAAAGAAAGAAATTAATAACAAAGATCACAGGTGTCTTCCTAAAAGATGTTTCACACGTCGCATTTTAGTTGAAAGATAAAAGCAGAAATAGGTCTGCATACGAAGGCATCAATACTAGTGAAAAAGAATACTGTTTTTGAGTTAAGATTGAACATGGTCTTTAAAAAGAGGGATATGTTGCATTTATTCTATTACAAAAAGCTAGGCAAACTGTATTATAAAGTTTACAACAAACACCATGTCGAAGAGGTTGAAAGCGTTGGAAAGTTTCATGCAGGCAATAGCATTTTGCAGTCACTGAGAGTCTTGATTTCTCAACTTAGCATCAGTTACCGGTTATTAACTTTTGCTCAAATTTGTACTATCAGAAATAGATATTAAAAACATAATCGACCTGATTTGGCTCTATGGTTCCGCACAAAATTTGCGTATCGTGCCAAGCTGGTCACTTCTGTTTGAACTAATTCTGAAAAACCTTTAACACGTTTTGTAGTTATTTTATTAATAGCATCTGAAATTTTACTGACAAGGTCGAAAAAAAGAGTACGGCTCAGTAGAGGACCGAATATACAAACAGTAACTATTTCTTAAGCATCAGTAATAACAATAAATAAAGCAAACTATTGATGCATTTACCGCTTTGCATGAAGTAATGTAATGGCCGATGATGATGACATTGCTGCCACAGTGGCTGATCAAATTTCACCCTTTCATCTCGTTGTTTTTTTTCCCTGTTACGTTCGAGAGCGATTTTTCTCCATCAGTAAGCTTTTGAATTGATGTTTTTTGAAACAGAAAGGCCTGTTTCTTTGTTCTTATAAGCATATGTGACAGAAAATATGGGCAATGAATTTTCGTGTATCGTTTATGCCAAAAAAAGAAGAAAGAAAAGAAAGAGAAATAAATATAATCTTATTGATACTTTGTACGGCGATTCCAGTTAAACGCTTCTAATTCTCGCTTCATTATCCGTGACTGCACGATAGCGTTTTATAAACGTTGTTTAACATTTTTCTTTAAATGAGTAAAATATGTTTACATAATATCAAGCTGGACTGTTATTACGTGGAGAAAAGCCAAAACCACTCCCTAGTTACTGGCAAAAAGTGGAGATGAAGGACGCTTGTTACCCAACAGTTCTGATGAAAATTTCTTACCTCCTTAGCAGCTGAGAAACTTCACTCCTGTTGTAACCTGTGAAATGAACTAAGGATAAAAGGACATCAAGTGTACTTAGAGAAAAGGAAACAAAGACCCTAAATTATGTATAACGAAAAACAGGTTGGGATTTCTACGATTCATGTTGCAATTGGTCTGGCTAGCTTTGATCCTTCTTCTAACAATGTTGGCACCATCTTGGTTGGGTGGTCCGATTGTTTACATTTATACAGTGAACAATATTGTCAAAATTTACAGCCAAGAGGTTTAGCTTTGATTTTCTCGATTCCTTAAATTGCTTCAAAACTAATAACTCAACCTATTTTGACCTCTCCCCTACCCTCGCAAAGGGCATTTGTAATTTTTTTACCCTTGAGCTGAAAATTCCCCACGACCGGCAGATTCGCCTAAAAACTGTGAGCAATTGCCCCACCTCGGCGAAAAAAAACAGCAAATATGTCAGTTTCTAACCCACACAGTGAAGAAATGTACCACTAAATATAAGCTTCACAAATGAAACTCACCGGCAAAAGAATACTTAATTTGATAAAAATTAACACATAATACGGATAATACGAATTATCCAGATATTTTGAACGGCATAAGACCCGACGCGCAAACTACCTTTTCTCGCCTAAGGTGCCACTTTGTCACTCTTTTGCAAACAGTGTGGCATTTATTAATGATGTTGCCCCACCTATTAAATACTAACCATTGGAAAGTCGAGGCCACTGCAAAACCCGGGTTTGAAATGAACAGTGAACGCCTAAGAGAAAAGACCATTTATCCCTGCGTTTGGGAAGCTTCGCGAAGAATTTTAAAGTGGTAGAGGTTATGAAATTAATAACCACAAACGTCTTGTCCCCTGCTCAGACTTTAAAATGTCAAATGTCCCACCGTGGGAACACAGGACTTGACAAACCCCCGACAAATAACCGGGCGACAGACACATAGGGATTGACTGAGTCAAAAAGGCACAACCGAGAATCTTGCCAACTCTCTCTCTCTCTCTCTTCATAAAAACGACCAGGGAAACAATTATGTCCAACCGTACAACTAGCGGGCTACTTGATTTCTCACTGAACCGAGGGAAACGTTTGCCAAAAGGACACGAAGCTAGGTGATTTTTTTCGTTTCTTTGACACTTGCATTGTTGATGCTCGAGTGTCTTGTGTAACCCCGGGGGGTACTCAAGAAAGTTTTGTACAGGGAGGCTCCGCCTCGAGGTCTTACCCCTTACCCTTTTATATACTATTTTTGAGCAGAGGGCCGACAATTTACGTGCACCTTCTATTGACAAATGGTACCCCTTTCACATACCTACTTTAAAACTTTACACTTCTTTTAACTGCTGTAAACCAGGAACTGGGCTTTTTCACTGTCTCTCATATATGAATAAATCAGAAAACCAAAACGTTTTCTCGACTTTTTCACAGACATAAAATGCAACTGGACCCATTTGGGCCTTTTCACTAACCGAAAAGACAGATTTCCCTGCTAGTGGAATCTCTACCCTTTCATATACCTGAAGCCCGAATAAGGTATCCCTTTCGAATTCGGGCAGGACTACCCCGTGGTATAGGCCATGATAGGGAATACCTCCCCCGGGGGGTGTTTGACATGCTTTTCTGCCTAGTACCATCAGGGCGTTTCATATTTTTCAGGTAACACACTGGGAATTTCGGGCCGTGAATCAGGTGGTATATTTTATGAAGAGAATTAGAAGACGCGTACAATTCATGTGTCTTGGTAAGCCTTAAAACCGGTCACTCAAACGCAAACGTCTACAGACTGAGTTAAAGAATCCAGCACGAAAAATCTTTGTGGTAATTTCCATGCAACTTCAGTTTAGGTCCGGCCCCAATACAAGTTCTGATAAAAATAACTGTCATAAATATCCATGCCACTTATCATATCGAGGGCAGAATACTTCAATATTCCTTGTGACTTGATTGTTTGTGTTTGTGGCTAGGGGGCAGTGGAGGGTGGGCGGAAACGGGGAAAGTTATGCCCTTTGAGGCTTCGGGACCTGGGCGTAGGGAGCAAGTTTGACGGATTTAAACTACGCCATTTGCTGATCGGCCTTTGCTTGTGATTTCTTACGAACGTTTATCATGTCTATTGACAATACTGCGGCTATGAAGAGACGACCAAGGGTGTTCAGCTTTTTAACCTCCAAATTAGAAAAAGTAATAATCTTTTTATTTTCCGAGTACTTTCCTGTTTCTTAAAAAAATGCAATAGAGCGAATCAAAGTGAAATGTACGTGATTTTGATTGGTTTAGCGAACACGCAACAGATTATCAGCCGAAAAAGATTGTTCATAACTTTAGGCGAAAGAGACTGGGCAGCTGACAATCGAACACGTGGGATGCTGTTTCCATCTTTAATTTTTTTTGGGCGGCAGGACGACGAGTGCGTGTTTAAATCTTTTTAACCACTCGCCGATGAAATAAAAAACGAACACTTACCATGCCAATTTTGAGGTCAAACAAAAGTCGCTCTATAACAAACTACACACTTGTAAACTGAAGTAATAGTACAGGTCATTTTAGAAAGGTTCGAATTAAAGCTCCTTCTAATGGCTACGACGTCGTTAAAATGATTAGTTTAAAATAGGATTGGCGCGCGCTAAAAGGACCTTTGTGGCGTAATCAATTAAATTTCACTTAACAGGTAACATTTTTTCCAAGCGAAAATGTCCACAGAATTAGTCAGGGTCTCTCTAGTTTGACTTTTTTTTGGATAAGAGTCAAACATGCCTACTCTTATTGAGTTAGAGCAGCTTCTAGACATTGCACTGACAACACCAGAAGTAGGTACCGTAAATTTTAACATTTTGCGCGTGTTTCTACAAGAAATTCTGAAACACCTCAACATCGAAAATAAGGCTGTGGATATCGACAACTTTGAAAGAGAACTCAAATCGGCGTACGACTTCATTAAAGATGGCTTTCTTGAAATTAGTTCAAAAAGTAGGGAAAGAACACCAGAATCAGCCCAGAAGCCAAACATCGCCATCATTGAAACTGAACCAGAGAAAGAGATAGCAAAGGAAGAAAACGAGGAAGAGCAGTCGACAACCGAAACATCTGTTATAGCAGTGGAGGAGAAAAAATCACCAGAGCTGGAGAGTACGCAGGAATCAAAAAGGGCGACTTCATCTCCGAAACCTGGAACTGCGCTTTCTGTACGAGATCACTCTCCTGCAACTCGAAGTTCCGTGTTGTTGGTCGGGCGAACAGATTCCCTTAAGAACTTGAAGAGAATGGTTTCTGAGCTCCAAGAACGAGTGGAGACTCTCGAGTTGCAGCCCACTCCCATGCCTGATCCCGTTAAGTCTGCTGCGTCCTTAGTTAGAAAAGAAAGCAGGACTCCTGCGCATGACTTTGTGGAATTAATAAACATCAAGCGAAAGCTCGAAGCATCAGAGAATTCTATTGACGGTTTAAGTGAGATGGTTGACGCCCTGACTTCTGATGTGAATGAACTGAAGGAACTCATGGCCAGTGCAAGCAATGCTCCAGGTGATGCTACCTCCAATATAGCAGAACTTAAAAATTGTTTCGAAGCGCTGAAAGAGGAGAAGGGCAAAAATGAAGGTCAGATTGAGGAAATATCACAGCAATTGCAAAAATTGTCATGTAGCGAGAAGAAATTAGATGAATTAGAGGGCATGCTTACTAGGCTAAAAGCGGCCATGCAAGAACTTAAAAACAAACAGAATTGTAAGGAAAAGATTCAGGTAAATGAAAAGGACCAAGACCAAGAACCTACAAACTGCACTCCTTCCGATGTTTCCGAAGCTCTGCAAAAACTTGAAAAACACGAGAAGCAACTTGAAGAATTAGCAGCTCAAATTCAGTTAAAAGAAGGAAAAATTAACGAAACGGACGCTAAGTTCGGTGGAACAGAGCAAGCCGCAAGCGATGTGTTAGTGAGACTTGAAGCGTGTACCAAAGGAGTCAACGACACCCGAGACCAACTGGCGTCATTGACTAGAGAAATCAAGAATCACAAGTCACTTATCGAGGACAATGAAATGCAAATCCATCAAATGAAGAATACGATAACACTTCTGCAGCGCCAAAGTCCGGAGAAAGCGAATGAGGGAGCGGAAAAGAGTAAAGGTAGGGAGAACTAGCCATCCTTATTAGAAATAGCCAATCAGAAGTATGTTGCAGTTTTAATACAGCGTTGTTAACAACCAGGGAGTGCTTTATCGCGTTCGTCAGAACGCATTCTAATCTTAATGTTATTAATATAATAATAATAACATATTTCAATTGTCACATGCAGTGTAGATAGTGACACACTTCATTTATCTCTGCTGTGATTAGTACGTTGTCCAACACTGACCTTTGCTTTGCAGAATTCATTTTTTTCCGCGCTGGGTGCAAGTTACGTTCGACATAATTTAAAAAATGATCTTTATTAATTGTCAATGTATTAACCACGAGAGTACTACTAGAGACGGGACCGCCAACTGACTCTGACTTTTTTTCCTCAGTAATAATAGAAGAAAAGCCAAAAGAGCCAGCAGAAACGCCTGCTCCCAGGCGCCGCACGCACAGTGTGGACCGAGATGAACTGAGTCTAATTAGGACCATGATCTTTGATCTGCAAGAAGAGAAAGATAAGTTGAAGCAAACAGACATGCGCTTAAGTGACGAACTTTACAAGAAGCAGAAACACTTGGACGACCTTTATAATTTGATCGATGAGTTAAGGGATGTAAAGGCGGATAAGGAACTTCTCAGCATGGGCTTTGAGATGAAAGCTGACAAGAGGGAAGTTGACGCGAAGATCGGACGGCAGGACTTTGAACATTACATGAGCCTTGTAGATCAATCATTGAGGGATCTACTGCAGAGGCTAGATGGACAGGTAAGTTGTTGTTTTATTTTACTACAGCATAGTTGTTATAAACATAGGACTGGTTAACCTAATCTTAGCCTCAGACGTTTTTCTTTTTTTTTTCGACAATTCGACAGCGCGTTAGCGAAGCGAGCCCCTGAGAGCGCGGTTCTATGGCAAAGAAATTCCGCTGACAATTCTCATATCATTCGATCTGCAAATGTGGCAATAGACAAAAAGTAAGTCATTATTATAATCCTTCAATCTAACCTTTTTTTGACCTTTTTGCAGTTAGAAAAAAATTACAAAGCCTCTCTCTCTCTCAAGAACTTTCAAATCGTCACTGTTGTCGTTTGGCTACTTTTTAGGAGGACGCGTTGAGGCGAGCTCTTGAAGGACTCAACTCCGATGTCGGTAAGAAGCTAGATAAAGAAGAAGTGGAACCTTTGAAGCACTACCTGGAAAAGCGAATGGAGGCCATGAAACCGAAACCGATAGAAAAGCCCCCTCCGGAAGAGTTGGCCGCAGGGATTCGTAAGCAGTTCCTTGTAAATCACAACTGCATCTCATGTGACCGTCCTGTGAAGTACGCCCGAGAGGGAACCTTTCCTCCGTTACCCACAATGCACTCTATGCCAGGATCCAAATCGAACCGTCCCTACACCACTTTCGAGCTGGAGCAGATACGTCAGCACATGCTGCAGGGAGGACTGGCGATGACCAAGGAAAGGTTTGAGCTGTTGGAGAGGCAAAGGAACAAACTACAGAAAGAAATTTTAAGACTCAGGTATGAAAATCCACATATAGGCAAAAAAAAGTCATGATAAATTTGATAGAAACTGATGATATTTGGTGGATGTGTGAAGCCTTTGTAGGAAGTATGAAAATACATCTATGTAATATCAACGAGAATCAACAAATATACGAAGAAATCCATACAGTTTGACTTTAATGCCAGCGCGTTTCCGTCGAGGTTACGTAACGAATGGGAAGTCCATCCGCGTATCTAGGAGATAAAAAAAGACGCTTGCGATGACACCCGAGGAGCAATTTTAGTCCCCTGCCCGCGGAAGGGGCGCGGCACTCCGGTCATGGGATTATGAACGTAGAAAAAATGCAACTGAAGAAAGACTACCACTCTCTAGGTTTGGTAATTTTTTGGTACATTTGTTTTCTTCCTCATTTCCCAAAAGTGCAATTGAATTCAAAAAATCAGCAGCTACATCCGAGAAAGTATGCAACAGGTGCGAATTTGCCGCGACTTTTACAAAGATATGTTCAGTGTTAGCAAGCGTGATACTTGCAGGAAATTGTAGTGGGATAACGAAGGCCTGCAAGCCCATGTGGAATCTTAAACTTTTTTTTTCTTTCTTGTCTATCAGCGGTGCGCGTAATCTACAAGAGCTGGCTGAAGTCACAGCAAGAGCATGCGGGGGAGTCCACACCCTCACCTATCCCCACAGTCAGGCTGTTGTTCGTGGGTTACAGCTTAATAGGGACGACTTTGACCTCTTACTTCCCCAGAAAGATTTTCAGCCAGTGGATATCCTCGGACAAGACGGACACATATACAAGGGGCTCTTGGAAAGCCTTCCACCGACGCTTCCTCACATCCCGCAGAAGAACAAGTCCCCTGGGATAAAAAATCCCCCACGGAATTTAAGAAGGAGCACTACTCCGTCATCCCCAAGCGTCCAAAAGACTCTCCCGGATGAAGCGGAAAGTTCTTAAATGTTTATCAATTTCTTTTCATTGTGTTGTCGTTCTATAACTTTTAGACGGATTCTAATTTTGTTGCAGTTGCGACAAATATTTTGGAGAAATATTCTTGTGTAAAAAGAAACAATAGTTTGTTCACCTAATTTCGTGGACATCATTCCGAACAAAGATTAGGAAAACTAAGGTGTGAATCAACAAAGGACAAAATTATCTGAGGGAAAATATTTTCTTAAAATACACCATCGCTGGCAGAAACGATCTTCTTTGCTTTATTTATTAAACATGTCCACTTGAATTCAATATTACTGATAACAAACAAAATTTGATTCACTCTCGTCGCTTTTAAAAGGTTTACAATATAATGTTCTTGTGACATGATTTTGGTTTCATGATTTGTGTGTACAAGTTTTTGTTGTTAACTTTTAGTTATTCAGCAGCTATTGAACCAACCTTCTGTCTCTTGTGAATAAACACTCAGTTACTGACGTGAACCTTCACTGTCACAGTACTATCCAGCGATATCTGAAAGAAATACTGCACACAAGTATTTAGGAAGTTTTGACAGTTGGATTATGAGGGTCGTGGCCTTCCTTTAAAACTTTTAGAGAAAAATTAACAGACTCATAGCCCTGTGTAAGAGAGCCCATTGAAATCACATCAACATGAGGGCCAAAATACTGCGTAACGTTCCCTATTTTGACTCCGCCGCTTCCCTCGATCAACAAATGAGGAAACTCTTCCTTTAGAACTGCTGCAGCGTTGTGCAGTGCTTCGGGATCGAAGTTGTCTAACATCACCACATCGGCTCCAGCAGTAGCAGCTTCTCTTGCCTCTGCAATGCTGCGACATTCCACCTCAATCTTGATAGAAAATCCCCCAACTTTTCTCGCGTCCTTCACGGCGCGTTCAACATTTCCAGCTGTCCATATGTGATTGTCTTTGAGCATGATCATAGACGACAAGTCATAACGATGCGTAGAAACACCGCCGACAAGAAGAGCATATTTTTCCACCATGCGAAAACCGGGGGTTGTCTTTCGGGTTCCTGCAATTTCCCCATGCCACTTGTGCTCCGCTTTGAGTTTCGTCAAATTTCTAGCTTTCGTTGCGATTCCACTAGCTCTTGTAATGCAGTTTAAGGCCACCCTCTCGCCTATAAGAATCCTGTTAACCTTTCCTGTGACCCTGGCCACTGTGGTTGCAGGTTCGACCAGTACCCCTTCGGAGAATTCCCACTCCACTCTGCAACCTAACTCTTGGAATACTGCGTCGAAAAACGGCACGCCTGCTAAGATACCCCGGGATTTACATAGCAAGACTGCAGTTTCTTCGCTTTCACCGACAACGAAGCCACCGTAATCGAAACTTGGAGTGTCCTCGGCAAGCCAATCCTGAACTTTTTGGCGCAAAGAGGTAGGGTGAAGAAGAAAGCGAACTTTGCAGCCACAAGCATCCGCCATGTTTGATGGTTACCAAGCCGTTTTAGCCTGGCTACCAATTCAAAGCTCGGTTACACAGGTTCTCCCATAAATCCAAGCGGGAGAGTTTATCAACAAAACAAAATGGTGGCGAGCAGTTCGAAAGTTCATGTAGAATTATTTATTTTTAACTTTTTTGGGATCTGCATCTCTCTTGTAAACTCAGATTTTAACTTTGAAGAAATTTATGGCGTTAAGTATGGATTTGAGATTTCAAAGGAACCTGTTCTTCTAAAAGAGGTAAGTTTTTTAACTTCTTTTATTTGCGCCAATGGTGTAACGCAACGTCTTAGCATCTGCTTCCTTACGGGTCTTCCAGCAAGCTGCCTGGTTCAAGAAAGCGGGCACCTGCAGCGAAAAATTAGAATTCCTCGATATGTTAATATTCGTCTATCTTGCTTAATTGGAAAAAAGAGGATCATTGAAAATAAAAAAGGACTTGAAAAGATATGCGGCGAGCAATAATTTAAATAGCTACTGTAGTAACAGTAGTTACGTTTAGATGACAAGCTTTCGACACCGTTTCCGTTTGGCGCATGACGTTACACTAATTTAATACCTTCTTTTCTCTGTTTGTTTACGGTTGATACTTGTTGCACTGTGGTTTATCTACAATCCCAAAAATGCTGCATTTCATCAGTTAATGATATTGAGGGAAAAGTGTTTTAAGGTAGCTTTCTTCATTATGTCAGTGTAAAGGAAGGATAATATTAAACCCTATTTTAACTCGTTTTACTTTCTGATGTTTTAAACCATATTTTCTGAAGTCACCAAAGAAATTTTTCTCTTGGTTGTTATTTCTAAATAAATCATTTTACTTTGGAAATTTTTTATACATGACCTTTTATACTTCGCAGTTCAGTACTCAGAAATATCTACTCTCACTTTGCTAGAATCGTTCATGCCATGATTTTATGATCTGTACTTCTATTAGCTGAGTGACCTTGTTTTTACCTTGAGCTATCAAATCTCAGACGGCAGCAAAGGGGGAGTCATGGTCCTGTTTCACGTGCAAATTTTGACAAATTTCACTTATCACGTGCTTTATAAACCAGTTTTCATGAGTCATGAATTTAGTCATCAACCTCTCCTGCCCGTTAATCAAAGAGGCCACCGACCAAAAACACAGTCATCACGGCTGAGACTTTGATGGTGGTCATATTGAAATATATCAAAGATTATATGACCGCATGCGGTTTTTAGGTTCTAGTTTTTTTGTGGGACAAATAATTCACAAATTCCCCATATCTTACAAGATAAATCACGCTTCATATCCATACGTGATTTCATGGATCACGTTCGTATTATAAAAAATTTCACGTCACACACCAAATTTTGGCCTCATCACCCTTTGCTATCCTCATCTCACTGATTGGTTGTTATCCGAAATTTCACTGCACCAGTCTGTATAATCTGTGGGTACCTGCTCGGCAGACTGGTGCTTATCCAATCGAGGTAACTGGCTGGTGGCTCGACAGGCGATGGCTCTCTATCTTCATTTTTCTGACAACTTATTTGTATTTCTGTTTTTTAAGTATCTTTTAATATTGACCAGCTTTTTCATTTTCTGCAGAATCCAACAACTGGGAATACAGTGCTGTTATCTTCAAAACATGGACAACAGTACCAGTGTGTTTTACCTGAATTGGAAACATTAGAGAAACAGAATGAAGATAATCATATTTTATCAAAAGAGGAAATCCCACTACTATTGGAGCCTTTGAAGAAAAAATGTTTGTATAATGTAAGTTATAAGTGATAATAAAGTAGGGCTCAAAAAAGAGTCTTGCTTGTTTGTGTGGAA